TAATCCATGTAGCCATAATATTGTTGTACAGATAACGGGATGAATTTCTTCCCATGAGAAATTCCTGACAAGATCATGAATCAGTTAATTGCAACAACTTCACCTTGAGCTGGTAACACAAATTCTGATTTATATTAAATCTGCTGTTGATACAAAGGACGAATGTCTGTTGGAACTTGAAAAATGTCTCTGCTGTTTGTTGTAGAATGCTAATGGGGTGAGCTGCCAAACCTTCCCTTCTTTTGGAAGCTACTGTAGCCTCTTAATTTCTGAAAGTAATCTGCCAGTAACCAGCCCAATTTTGGAATACTTAAAGGCAGTGTTTCTCAACCTTGGCAACTTTAAAATGTGTGGACTTCAACTCCCAGAATTCCCCAGCCAGCCATTCCCATGGGGAATTCTGGGAACTGAAGTCCACACATCTTAAAGTTACTAAGGTTGAGAAACACTGCCTTTAAGGCTTTGTTTTAGTTATTCTTTTCTGTTGCCTCTGAGCACCAAGATATGAAAGCTCAGATTACTTTAAAAAGTTCAAGTCTCAGTAAATGTGAGATGTGGTGGGAATTCAATTTTTGCTAGACATATGCAGGAACATATTATTCATAAGTGAAAAACAAATGATTCCACACTATTAGGAGCTGCTAACTTCTGCGAATCTGGAGTGGAGAGAACTTCACTTCCCCCTTTCTTTCAGGAATGTTGAACTCCAGTATCAAGAGAACGCAAAAAGGAATAAAATCTTCCCTCATTGATAACTCATTCATCTTAACTTTTCTCACAACCTAGCACTGTTTGGAGGAATAGACCAAACCCCTGATCATGCAGTGTGTGCCTTTTTTTCTTTTTAATTAGCAGTTTTGAAACCAATTCTCCTTTGCATCCCTTAATAACTACTGATGGTGCAGTGAGAATTGGTTTGCTCTCACAGTAGCTTTAATCCCTTAAAGACTGTATCTGAATTTGTTTATAAAGGGAGAGTTGTTTGATATAGGATTCTTTTGGCATGATTTTCTCTGCAGATGGAACTTTTAAAAGAACAAAATGGAATTGAAAACAGGTTATAATTGGAGAAGATTAAAAGCCTCATTAACTTGCTGGCATTGTCTCTGTACATTGACCAGTATGTGAGAGACCAGCTCTGCATCTGAGGCCTTGCAGTAGAATAATGGAAGTAAGATAATGCTGAAATATTTGTTTTGAAAAAATCAGTAATTGCTTACTTCTCCATCCAGAACAAAGAATTGGTCATTTGGGGACATGCTACTAGAAACAACTTGCAAATGCAGTTTTGAACCAATTATGTCCATTAAAGTTAACATTGTAGTCAGAGATCTTTGAGGAAGAATGCTTCGGCGCATACTCATACCGACAAACCTCCATCCTTTTCTCTTGGTGGGAAGTCTGGATGTTGTCATTTCCACTTTTAGCTTACAACTTCTTCTTTTATAATCTAAACCCACAAACTGTGCTGAATTGTAACTATAATTTAAAATATGTTGACTTTAAGCTATGTTTTCTGAGGCTACTTTGTTTGAACTAATAAAAGTTAATATTCATCATAGTTCTTGGTCAATCCAAAGTTATATGGTTATTTAATACTTAAAAACGTAATACATTTAATACATTTAATACCTAATATTTTTAATACTTAAAAACTTAATACATTTAATATTTAAAACAGGAGCAACAACTTCTTAATTTGGAGAAGGGATCTGATACAACTTAGTCCTTCATGTCCCTGTAGAGAATTTCTTCACAGCTGTGATAGGGCAAGCCATATTTATATTACTCCTGTTTGCCTGTCTGTATACTGGCAAGTATCAATATATGGGAAGTATCACTTCAACAATATGGGGCAAATTAAACATAATGCCAAGGAACAGATAACGGTGCCAGTGGGAGCTGAGCTTCCTAGCTTGCATGTCCGGTGGGGATTGGGTCCCCTGGAGTCACTGCTGGGAGGGAAACTTCTCTTTTACATCTTTGCACTCCTATTTTGCACTTCCCACAGTTGTATCCTGCTCTTGTGGTGTTATGACCTTATATCCTGGGTCCTTTCTTATCAATAGCTTCTGTATGTAACCAAGATTTTAAAAAATTGAATTATGTTCTCATACTTCAAATCCTATCCATCCTTGGATCCCTTAAAATTGTTTTCATGTGTTTGTTCAGAAGTTAGATATACAGTGAACAACTATAGTTCTGTAAGGTTGATGATTAATATGGCTCTTTTAAGTACAAACAACATCTTGTTTAAGGTTATTAGGACTACAGATTGTATCTTTTCCTAATATCACAGCTGTCATATTACTGTCTCCAGTAATAAATCAAAGCATGCTCCCTTTGCCTCTGAGCAAAGGAAGCAGTTGTACTCTGCGGAAGCTCACATCTATAATGTTATTTTTGCCACCATTGAAAACAATTTTTAGCTGCCCTATTCTGTAATTTGCTTGATATATATGTTACTTGAAGCAGTGCTACTGTTAGACTGCAACAGAAGCCCCATATGTGCTAATCTGTGTTCCCATCAAGCTGCGTGTATTGTTTGTTTTCACAGAATAACTAAGAATAGGTTCTAAGGTCTCATGGTTGGAGAGAGAGAATAAAATAAGCTTACTGCTTCTTGCAAAAAGTAATTCATGCAATTCTTTCTAATAACTTGGCAGAGACTTGCCAGGAGTGGCTCCCACAGAAGAGACCAGTATCCCATTGCTGCTTATAGATACAGCTGGCTGTGACTTATTTGAACTTGAAGCGGAAGAAGAACAGTCTAAAGGAAATCCAGGTACCATCATTTTCTCTACTGCATTATTTTCGTTTCCAGTGTGACATCTTGTTTTCAAAAACCACCCCTTCAGTTTATGTTAACTCTACAGTGGTTATGCAATACCAGCTGCTGCTAGGTAAAAAGTGTCCTTGTGCCAAAAATGTATTGTCAAATTTGAGTAATTGACTGTAATATTACATCCATGATCACAGGCACAACTCTTGTGGAAAAATTCGAATATTTTATTTTTAGAATAAAAAATGAGAATGTCTTGCATGTCATGCTTGATATACACATGTTATACTCTTAAGATAGATGAATAACCTGTTTAAATTATCCATGGCCTCCAAGGCTGTTTTCAGACTTTTGCTTCTGGTTATTTTTTTGTAACATTCAATACCATTTGTATCAAATGGTAACTGTAAAAGAAATAGTTAGATTTGTTGAATCCTTCTGACATACAGTATCAAAAACTCCATCCAGATTACATTGTACTGTAGTATAACTAATGAGTCAATACAAAACATACAATGCAAGAAGAAAGAGGCAGAAGATAGTACAACTAGTGGTTGTGAGTAGGAGTAGCAAAATCCTGAATGCTACTTCGTTTCACAAGTTTGGATTTTGTACCCCCGTAGTTAAGAAGGTATAGAATTTAAATTGGGCTTCAGGTGTAGCCTGAAAAAATAGAGCCCCAAAGTTGCTGTCTTCATCCCAGAAATGGGAAATGGCTGTGCACGCGCATGGCATTGAAGCAGCTTGCTTAGAATGAAAGAGTGAACAGAAAGAGAACTTTCTGGTGCACCCCAATGTATTAGTTCGATGAGTGGACAGCCATGCTGGCTGGGGAATTCTGGGAGTTGAAGTCCACTCATCTTAAAGTGGCCAAGTTTGGACAACACTGTATTAGTTAAACAAAACCTAGCCTTGGTGGAACAAAAGGCTACCAAACTTTCGCATAGGTTTTGGGTAGAAAGAAAATGTGGTGGGTCATAATTAACTTAGCTATGAAATTCTGTAAGTACAAAGAATGCATGCCAAATTTGAATGACAAATAGAAACTTGGGCATTGTAGAAGCTGTTCACATTCATGTTAGTTCTGAAATAATGCCCACTGTTTTCCCTGGTATTTACTTTCTACCGTATGTACGTCAGGTTGCAACCCTAAATAGTCTCACGCGGGCTTGATACATAAGTGTGTGTCGAATGGTCTGCAGCATTATGTTTCATTCCCACTTTTTAAACAGAAAAAGTTCTGAAAAGTTACAGTAATATAATCTGTGTCTGTCTCACTAGACACGCTCAAAGATCCTTTTGTTTATGAAGGAACATTTGATGCTTTGAACTTGAACAAGGCTGCTTATGTAAGTTTGAAATAGCGTCAGCTTTTTGAGTGATTCTCTAAAATGGATTAATCTGCTAGGAGGATCTTTATAATGGATTGGCGTCTTGCCTATTTAAAACACAAAGGGATGGGACCTTCTTTATGAAAATAAGTGTTGATCTCAAACTTAGTGCAGATGGCAATTTATCAAGAAACTGAATAATAAACATGAACAATGTTGAAAAGTGTTTCTTTATTCTTGTAACTTGCAGGAAATAGCTGGTGGTTGGGGAAGAAAAATTCCATGTATTAGTTTTATTATACCAAAAAAAAACAACAACGAGGTGGGGGAGATGGGACATCTTAAATTCTCCAGATGTTGCTGAATTCCAATTCACTTCAACAGGGGTCAGAGATGATGGGAGATGTAGTCCATTACCTTCGAGATGAGCACAGATTTCTTACCTGTACCCTAAGCTCAGATACAAAGTTGTGATGGCATTCCAATAATAGGTAGGAGCAGAGGTTGCCATTGTCAAGTTGAAAGTCCAGACTAATCTCCTGGTCTCCAGCAAGACATCTTATACCATAGTAACAGCTGTGCAAGCTGTAGCAGACAGCTACCAGTGATGCTTGTTAGATATTGCAACTGAAGTTTAAATATTCTGTCTTGATATGCAGTTGGCTCTGAAGGAACAGGAAAGACTGTCAGCTCTCAGCCAGAAATGTTGAACTTGCTTCATATCCATATTGTTTGTGGCACAGCAGAGTTGAGAGAGCTTTCACTTTTAATTGTCTTGGCACATCACACTTTGTCCAGCCTTTAAGCAAACAAGGCACAAACCTCTGCAGTTAATGGGTTAGCAAATGCCTGATTGTGCTGATGGCACATAAAGCACAATCTGTGGTAGAAAGGCAGGCCAGAGTTATAAAGTAGCTTAGCAACTCTCATGAAGTTTTGTCGATATTCAGGCAGAACAGGAACTTTTCCAGGAGAAATATCCTTTTAGGTATACTAGATTGTACTTGGGTGGATAAATAAGAAAGGGTAAAGGTGATTCTCAGGGGAATAGCTCTATTACTTCAAGAACCAAAGAGACCTTGGGAAGTCTGTAGGGTGTGACAGTTTCAGCAACTTTGACAAAGGTTTGGGACAGGAGAATCTTAGTTTGTATAGATGGGATTAACAGAGGGCGATTGATTGGTGATTTCAGATGGAAGACTCCCAACACAATCAAAAACATTGTGTAGCTATTCTGTCTTTCCCTCCTTAACAAAAGCTGTCTGGATCCTGTGAACCTCTGTTTCAGGAAGTACAATTGTCTAATAAAAAATCTTGTCTGGAAGCATCCTATGTACTGTTAGCATTGATAGAGTCATGATAGGAGGTTGTTTCACCCAGGAATGAATATTAGTCGCTATGATGGTCCTACATGCAGGTTTTTACTACATGACTGTGCACTACATAGTCATTGTTCCGTATGTACATGAACCTTACATTATGTATATTCTGTATAGCAGAAGGTAGCAGTGCCCATGTAAAAGTTGCACAACTTATAAAATGATATGTTTCAACATTCCTAAGCCTGATTTAGCAACCTAGAAGAATGAACAGATAAGGATATAAGTTTAAAGTGTGTTGAAAAGCTATTAAATTATATGTGAAATTTCTAATATGTAGTAAATTTGCTTCTGGGCAGGTTTTAGTTTTCTGAATTATATTCATATATTAGGGATTTCAAGATTGATCTTGGAAGGCCATTTTGCTATCCTCATGACTACTATCGGTGATGTAATGCTTGTAATCTCTGGGCCTCTCCTGGATATGGCATTTCAAATTAAAAATATTGTTTACAAGTTGTAAGCCCTAAAGCCCGTGTGTCTAAATAATTTTCAATGACATTTTCCAAAATAGCAATATAGCTATGCAGTTTGATTTATACTCAGAAGGAGGATAAGTCAAAGTTTGAATTAAGACCTTCTCAGTATAGTCATGGGTCTTGCTTTAAGGGACACAGTCCTTCCTTGCCCTCTTTGGGTTTCAGAAAGGCCGTCAGAATGATTTTACATCAGCGGGTCTTTGGACTCTAGAGTCTAGAGTTTCTGTCGCACATCTATTTTAATTGGTTTTTATGGTGATTTCTTCTTATAATTTCAGTTTGGTTTTCTAAATGGGAAATACTAACTTGGTTTGCTAAGGTACACTTCCCAGAATCATGTATATTGGGGCAGTTTATAAGCACTACAAATAAATAAAATAAAATAGCTGTTTTTAAAAAATGTTTTCTTTAAAATGTACAGTACATGACACATGTGAATGAGGGGCATTTTATGTTTTGGTGTGTGCATCCACCCTTGCTAAATTTGCCAAGGAACAGTTGGGGACAGCCCTTTTTTCACGTGATGAGATGAGGGCCAGCAAGTGCCTAGTGAATGACTAAATTGAACAAAGGCAGGTGCCTTCCTTTGCCATGTGCCCCACTCACAGATCACCATCCGCATCCAGCTTTTCAAAAGCACATGAATCCTTTGCAAGGTGACTGGCGGTATAGCTACATAAGGAAAATGGTAACTCTTGAGCTGTGAGAAACCAACACAACAAGGAAATCTTTGTTTTCTTTTGGCTTCCTGTAATCTTTGAATTCCTAGCAAATAAACTTGCACTTGTATGCTGCATGATTATACATACAGTACTATTTTTTTATTTAGAGTGTAGAACGCAGTTTATAGGTCTGTTTGGTTTTCTAATTGAACCTGCCTGCCTGCTTCTTCAACCCTAAAGTTGCTTGTTCCTTGTTCCCAGGTGAGGTACAACTTATCGGCTTGCATATAGATGCTTTGATAGAAGCTGGTGTGAAGGCCAAAGATGTAGCTGTCATTGCTCCTTACAATCTTCAGGTTAGTGCATCCACTGCCATACACTAAGAAACATGTCATCTTGAAAAAGAAAATGGAAAACTAAGTACAAAGCAAAATGAAACTGATTTGAATCTTCAGAGGGACCTAAATTACCCTCACAGATAATAAATTCAGTAAGGTAGAGGCAGAACTTCATTGATTTTTCTTGATCTGTGTGGACTTAACATGCTCTGTGTGCTCTTTTGTGTGGGCCTACCAACCTCTTCCACCATCTGCTGGTCTCCAGTAAGTTAGGAAGATCCCCATTCCTCCCTCCAGGGTACAGATCACATTTCAGCAGTCCTAGCATGCTAGACAAGAACACACATCAGATGTAGCTTTTTATTCCTCTTTCTAGGCAGCAGTCTTATATATTAGATGCTTAATTTCTAATGGTTTACTTTTGGAAGGAGAGGATCTTTTCAGTTAAGAGGGCATTTACTTTCCCCCCAACTTCAGTGCCATGTTTTCTGTGTCAATAAGGGCTTTGTTTTTCAGGTGGACATGCTAAGAAAACATCTGTGTCATAAGCATCCAGAGCTGGAGATTAAATCAGTGGATGGCTTCCAAGGAAGAGAAAAGGAAGCTGTTGTTGTTTCTTTTGTGAGATCCAACAGAAAAGGTAAATAGGTTATAATCTGGGGTCATGCAGAATGAAAACAAGTAATTTGCAAGAAGCATTGATGCTATTGCATGTTGCTGTGGTTGTGACTGATTCATGATTCTGGCTGGCCAATTAAAAAGAACACTACAACATCCTATAATTCTTTTCAAAAAGAGATCAGAATGACTAATAGTAAGAAAAGGATAAAATAATTGAGTGAACTTCTGGTAATTATGGTGACTGTCATTTAATTTAAAATTCCATCTTGCAGCCACAGGAATCACAACTGTCAGTCGACTGTGAATGTAACTCAAAAGATGTTTCTAAAGTATGTTCATATTGGGGACATTGCAAATATTCTGCTTCCACTGGCAGTATTTTTTCCCATTATAATAGTCAGGCATGATGAGAGGGCTTTCTTCTCTGTTTCATATGGTTACTGCAGGGAAAAATGCCTCCCTGTTTATGGATTAAAATAGATAAGCAAAGTTGTGGTTCATTGTTGTCTATGTATTATGTCTTCAGATATGGTTTTGACACTTGGTAATTACTTCCCAGGTCGGGCTTATCAAGCACAAATTAGTGACTCATATATTTTAATGTGCCCTTTAATGTTTGTTTTCCCATTTGTCTTCTGCCTAACTCCTCATACAGGACTCAACCACCATCGGTTAAGTAGCTGAGCTGACTCATCTTGGCATTTGCTATCTGTTATTATAAAGTCTTTTTAAAAATCTGGAGATCAGAAATAACTTCTAAAAAAGACTTTGTCATTTCTAACCATTTATTCAATCCTGGGTGCTGCTTTTTTAAAATTTTTAAGCCTATGCTAAATATTTTTCTGACCTTTATCAGACTTGTTAATAATTAGGAACAAGCAAAACACATCTGCAGTGCTCCAAGAAAGCTTTCTCATGTTAATCTCTGCTTCAGCGATACAGCTCCAGCCTCAGAGCAGTTCCATTGTGGACAAAAACTTTAGTAAAGCTTAGTTAATCAACATGGACAGTCTGTATGAATAGTCCTGCTTTTCCTCCTAATTGTGAAACAAAATGAACATCTGTGGTTTCTGAAGTCATATCAAGGGCTAAAAATTCTAATTTTTCTAGCTCCTGGCCATTTCTTGAATTTTGCTTTCCTTATTTAAAAGTAAAATGGAACGAAACTGGATTTTTCAGAAACATATATTAAAACAACATTGCAACTTATTCAGAGCCTCAGTATACCTCAGGCCTTCCACACTAGATTATTGACTAAACATCTGCTTTTTTGGAAATCAATGACTTTATAAGTAAAATTGAAGCAGATTGATAAATTATATTCACCTGAAATGAAGACACCCTGAGTTTAAGCACTTCTCCCCTCCCTTCCTTTTACTTTTCAGAAAACTAGAGAGGGTCCCTTCTGAGAAACTTCCCACACCCCTTTTCCTTTGGTGGGCTGAGATACCTTTTGCATGATGGTCATCTAGGCTGAGGCTTTTCCTCCTGTCTCCCAAGGTCAATTCCCACATACCATTACTCTACAAGACAAGTTATCATTCTGTCAAAATAGTGTCCATAAACATTGCCAGTGCATCTGATCTTTGCTAAATACAGGTTTAGGTGTGATTTTGTGTGATGATGAGGTTTGGCTACATATGTTTTGCTACTTTGAAGTCTGTCACCATGAGCATACAGTTCAAAATTAGGTGCAGGCAATGACACTCCCATCTCGGATTTCATATAGTTTTACAATAATAATAATAAGGAAGTGTGTGACTTACACGGTATGACAGTTAAAATCTTCATGGGATCTGCTTATGAAGTCCCTTGTTGCTGAAAACTTGTTTGGATTTGTTTGTAAATAAATAAATTTGTGCCTGCACTCTGTTCATGCACTGAATCCATTTTGGAAACTTCATTCTTGGGTGATGGTTTAGATAATTATAGTAAGAAGTAATGTACTTCACTGAATCTCTTGGAGTTAAGTCTAACTTACTTTTGAAGAAACATGGTTAGAATAGAACTCTCTGTATTATTATTACTTTACATGGCCTGTAAAGCTCTGCATCCTGATTTACTGTTTTTATGATATGTAGGTGAAGTGGGATTCCTTGCTGAAGACAGGAGAATAAATGTTGCAATTACCCGAGCCCGGCGTCATGTGGCTGTAATCTGTGACTCTCGCACCATTAGCAACCATAGTTTTCTTAAACGACTGGTAGACTATATGACCACCCACGGCGAAGTGCGCACAGCCTTTGAATACCTGGATGACATTGTACCAGGAAACTATACTCCCAAGAACTCTCTGGGTCCCCATGACAAGGAAAAGAGACTGAAATGCAGCACACCCCCAGTCCCAAAGGCTCTTGGAGAGAAACCAAGAGGAAGACCAGCCCCAAAGTCCAGGGAGAGGCCAACAGAATGTTCCTTGAAAAACACAGGCAAAGTCACAACATCAGGAACCAAAGAGAATGAAAATTCATGTAAACATAAAGCAAGAATATTGGAGTTTCTGGACAGTAGTGAGACCCAACTGGATTTCCCTTCCTCCTTAAATGCTCACGATAGAATGCTTATCCATCAGTTGGCCGAAGAATATGGGCTGCAACATGTAAGCACAGGAGAAGGCAGTGCACGATACATAAGTATTCGTAAGAGAGCTTCTCTCACTAAATTATCCTTAGGAGATGCTGTGGTTTGTAAGCAAGAGTTAATTCAGAGTCCTCCGAAAGAAGTGCACATCCATGGTGAGGAGAAGGGAAGCAGTGCTGGCGCAGGGGCCGCAGATTTGAAAACATTGCATGTGGAACGGATTCAGAGAGAGAGAGCCAAGAAAGATGAGAGAGCAAAACAAAGCCGAGAATCAGATGCAAATCTTCAGGAAATAATTGGGAAGAAAGACAAAAATGTTGGAGGTAAAAAGGCCATTTCTCTTCCATTTGCAGTTTAAAAGATAGCCATTTCATTCTTCTTTAATCTGCTGTTTATCAAACTTTTCTTTGCAATTCCCTACATAGATTCTCTCCTGGCAAAGGGAGTGTATCCTTTGAGAAGCTTCGGGGAAATTTTAACCAAAACACAGCCAACAGAATTCTCTGCTTTTAGAGCTACTTTAAATATTGAATCTCCTGCTTTTATACCATGGTTACAGAGGAAACAAGCTTTACTTCTAAAAAGCAACTACTTTTGAGAGCAACCTAGAATTTCAGATCTAGGGAGCACAGTGCATTTTCAACGAATAGGCTTCCTTTGAAAATGTCAGCCAAATATTTGTCCTGGCTTTTGGAAATATATGGATTTTGCCCAAAATCAGTAACTATGAAATTATCAGAACATGTGACCTAGGGCACAACATTGGCTGGCTTTGGACTATTGCTTAGAACATATTGAGGAAACAAAGTACAGATCCTTAGCTGACATCTCACTGAGCCAGACTATATGAATACCTGTAACATACTATAGTTCTCTTTCTCAGATCTTTACGTTCACATAGAGGCTATCTATGAGCTTGTCAGACAAAAGGAAAAAAAATGTCAATAGAAAAGAAAATCTCCCTTTGCCTTGCCAGGAAGGTGGGTGTGTGCAAGCATTTGAATATATGCATATACGTGTACCCATTTTCCATGATTGCTAACTTAAAGAAAAATGAAACCACTGAATATATGCATAGGTACCTTCTGAAATTCACATGCTCCCAGATTTCAGAAGAAGAAGAAAATCCCCTCTTATGCATTGATGACACTGCTGTGAAAATACAGAGACGATAGGATTTCTTGGGCATGGGAATAAACCTACATCCAGGCATTGCCTTTGATTTTAATCTAAAATTAAGAGTTTGACCCCTAATTTTTGAATCAGTAACATTTTCTGGAACAGCCTTCTCAAACCACAGCACCCTCCAGGTGTGTATCTTTCCACCATCAGCAGCCCTAACCCTAATCCCCTTTTCCTTCTTTAAAATGAAATGTTCTCTAAAGAGAGTTTCTAATTCAGTTGGGGCAGCTTCAAAGAAGTTCAGCTGGTCTCGGGCAGCTTCACGGTTTGTGTTCATATACATAAGCTAATGGCGTGTCTCCTCTGTGAGCACCAGATATTGCCCATATCTGGTTGAGCTGTGAGGATGCTTGGTCTGGCGCCTGAGGGGAAGGGTACCTTGGTTTTTAACTATGTTTTATGGATTGTTGTGAGCCGCCTGGAGTCATTGTATGAGATAGGTGGCCAGATAAGTCCTGTAAATAAACAAATAAATCTCATTATTGCCCCTCTGTTACCATGCATTGTCTACTCTTATTTGGCCACTTTATCTTACTGATTCCTTCTCACTGAGGAGTTAGTGCTATCTGTTAGCTGTCTGTTCACATAGGGCCAGTGTCTTGCCGTTTGATATGTGGCTGATCCTAGCAATGGAGATCAAGATCCACACAGCTGTGCCTCTTTACGTCCATCATAAAGTGTTGTGTGCAATCTTTCTGTCACTGCTCTCTAATTATTTTATGCCCTTATGCTTATTTAGGAAAGGCTACTGGTACATCCAAGAAGGAAATTGCAGCCGAGGAAGACTTTGATGCTATGATCTCTGCTGTAATTAAGGCTGACAGCACCTGCAGTTTCTTCAAGTGCAAAGCCAGCGTAACAACTCTGGGACAGCTCTGCCTGCATTGCAACAGACGTTACTGTCTCAGCCACCATATCCCAGAGGTATGCTTTGGATTCTCCTAGGCCAGGCAGACAACACACTTCCATTTTCTCGGCTCTTCGCCCCAGTTTTCAGAGCCAACATCACTTTCGGGTGAAATTAAGGTGTCATTTTAAAGCATTCAGTTTGGTTGACTTTTCAAGGAAGCTTGTCGTTACAAAGGCTGTTCAATATATGCAAATCCAATGGAGGGTAACCTCCCCCCATTTATCTTAGTTTGCTGTTTAATATACACATGTGCCTACACATGCAGGCACATACATACTTATGCAAAAATCTGTCTTTAGAAAGGTGGAGATGGGAGTTCAGCATTATGAAAGTAATGTAGCATAGTAATATACACATAGGGTATAATTCACAAATGAATTGAAGATATATTTGCCTCCAGTTTAATCTCCCAAAGACTGGAAATGTCTCCCCTACTGTGCTATAAGGAGGAAAAAAGTTGCTCTGCAGGGCTGTTTTTGCTTATAGTCTTTAGATTTTAAAAATGAAGCACTTTTTTTGTTCTCCTCTTGGTATTTTTAATGGAGTTATTTTTTATGAGGCTCAGTACTTCTGAAACATCTTTTTATCTCTTTCTAACATAAAGAATGGTTTTACTTCCTATTAAAGTTCACAACATTCTTTTTCACCCTCCTTCAGTCTTTAAATATATATACTCAAATACACACTCTGTCTTCTCCCTTGATTCTTCCAAATGAATCAGATGAAGAGAATGTGTGTCCTTGAATGGAATGACCATTCTAGGCCGTTAAAAGGCACTTAGCCTTGTGGAGCAAGAGATCTGTTTTTAATGCTGAAATAATGGGATTTTTCTGTGTCCTTTCCCTTCCATCAAGCTTCTGAATCATTCTCTCTTTACCTCAAATCACCTCTTTATTTTAAACTCCCATTCACATTCATTCCCCATAGCCTATTCAGATGCTTGAAGGAATCTTGTGCTCTAGAAAGCATAGATGCTTTGCATCTACTCAGAGTGGATCTTAATGTTCTTTGCATCTATTCAAGGGGCAGTCATAAACCTTGTATAATGTGGAACTGTTTCTGTCTACTTGTCCAGCTCTGTCAGGTCTGTGCGCGTGTTCTATCAATGTAGCATTTTAAATCCTGTCTGACAGGAATAATTATATTGATTACCAGTAAAAAATGCTTTCAGACATCTTCCACGTGGCCCTGATTTATTTGAAATAATTGATCATAGGTTCTTTTAATCTCATGGGGAGAATGTTGTATCTAGCTACTAGAACATTTTGATGCAAAATAGAAGTAAATAGAGCAAAAGATATATATATTTTGTGTCCTCACCAAAACTGAAAAATAGGCCAAGAAGGGTTATTTTTATGTAACTTTATTTATGTTGTAACAACTAGGTGCCTTAAAGCAAGCTTCAGTCAAGAGCAAATTGAATTCCACGATTCATGAACAAAAATATTGGTCTGTAGAAAAACATCCCAAATGTTTGGGTGGACCGAAGTTTGGATTAAAAAGTGTACTGTTTATTTAAGGCTATATTGATAGGCAGCTAAATGAAAGATATTGCTGTAAGCTAACCCCTGAGTAATGGATAGTTTACCACCCTCCTACATGTGAATAGTTTCATTGCGTTCCTTCATCTCCTGCAGACACGTCAAGGCACAGGGTCACAGGGTTAGTTCCCTCCAGATCTGGTGGACCAACTTCATAATCACTTTCACATGCCTTAAATGTTACCAGTTTTAACATTTGGTGTTTTAGTGTCATTTTATGGCGGGTGTGGGGGTGGATATTTCAAGATTTTGTTAGCTGCCTCAAGAATTCAAGTGATCAGAAAGATGAAATAGAATTCATATTAGTCAATCCAGCTGGCACCATGGAGATAGTTGACATAGTATTTATGTCTCTTCATTGATACTCCCACAACTGTTCTTATGGTTCCAATGACTAGAATGAGCCTACATTTATATGCAGGAAAATATATCAAATCTTTCCTCTTTTGATCACAGTGTTGTAGCTGCTTTCATATAAAGAAATTTGATAGTACGAACCGGCCACTTACAATAAAGTAAGATTCACATTGTTGCTGAATGTTAAGTAGATCTGACATTTTAAAAAATCTAATGTTTTGTTAATTTTAAAATTTAATAACAGTAACAATATATTTTGACTGGCACTTTGCCAGTTTAGTATCAACGTTTTCTAGTCTCATCACAGATCTTATTATACTTTCCATATATCTCGGAAGTTGGCAGAAGACTTAGTATCATTTATAAAACAAATATGATTCCTCCAGATTCTGAAGAATGATGGTTTGCCATCCTATTTCTTCATCATATGAACTTTACCTTACACTTTTCTGAGTAGAGCTACTGGCCAAGTCTGACTTGAAGAAGAAAACTTGTTGGCTCTTTGAAATATGCTGCCACAAAAGAGTAATTCCTTTTTTTACTATAATTTCATTGGTAATTTTAAGAGCAATAGAACAGAACCCTTGATGAAAGCTAGTTTTTCAAACCATACTGGCATTCATATTGCTTAGTTCAATAATTTTTGCACCTCTTGCATCACACCCTGAATTTGAATAGGTCTCATTTGAGGAAAAGGGAAGATTTTATCCTTTTAGAATTTAAGTCATGGAAAAATTCATATGGGCCAGCACAAATGTTTGATCAATTAAACAGAACTAATAAATGTGAATGTTTTAGAGAGATACTTGTATCTGATCCAGGGCAATCCCAGTTTAATTTCTGCATTTGTATCAAATCGTTTGCCACATATGTTTTTTGAGAGTGTTTTATACTTTCTTGTAGCCTTGGATAAAATCTAGATATAATATTCCTATTAAAATAAAGCTTTCTGACGTGATATAATTACCTGAGTTGACCCACCTTATAATCTTATTTTCAAGAAATTCTGCCTCATTCCATCATCACTTACTGGTAATGAAACAGACTTCTATATTACAACTTTTATTAAAGTACTTAACCTTTCCCTCTAGGCATTTTCTGCTCATATGTTCTCATAATTTAAGAATTATTGTGTGCTTAGTCTGTCCCTAGATATAAATGATTGTTCATGGCACTTTGTTTCAAACATACATACATACATACATACATACATACATTTCATTCATTCATTCATTCATTCATTCAATTTATATTGACTGCCCAACTCACAAATTGTGACTTTGGGTGGCTAACATAAAATTAAAAGAAAAAACCAACAAAAATTAAAACAACAGAGAATGTAATGCATCTGAAGCCAGCCATAGCCATTTTCTTAACCATTACAAAACAGGCTCAACCAACACACTGGCCCAATACTTGGGGGAGGACCCAGGTTTTCAAGGCCTTGCCATATTGGGCCATCTGAATCTCAGGGGGGTTGCTGTTCCAAGGGCCAGGCCCGTGACAAAGAAGGCATGCTTCTGGGGTTTCACAAGAGAGCCATAGAGGGGACCTGAAGCATGCCCATCTTGGTTGGATCTTGTGGGATGGTCAGAAACAATTGTACCCAGAAGCTTACTGAGACCCAGCGCAGCTTGCAAAGTACTGTAATGGGTGTACTCTATAACTTTTCTGGGCTTCTCCAAGCAATTTTCTTTCTGGGTATTGAGAAGGGTGTGGCATTTTGTACCCTCTAGCTGCTCATTGGGTTTTGCTAATGTGATGCTAACTCTAGAAATATCTGTTGTTGTATTTATACAGCTATGTTGCTGTTGACTTTCTTCCAATACTCTTCAGAAGCATCCCTATAACGTTGGACTTTAGAGATCGATTATAGTATTTTTTCAGACCAAAAAACAAAGATGCCCAAAAGATGGAATAGAGATTCTCCTTCCACTTGTAAAGTTTGAAAAGAGAATACTTAAGCTGTCTGAAAATATGATTTAATTTCACTTTAGCTTCTACTGGGGAAAAAAATGATCTTCACATTTTTTTGTTGCTGTTGGAATTAAAAGAACTGTCAATAAACAAGTGAGCGACTTGTACTGTTCTTTGGAGTTTAAGACAGCTGTTTAAGGCAGCACTCTACCTCTCTCATTTCTCTTTTTCTTTTTCTTTTCTTTTCTGTACTGGAGTATCTTGAGGCTGCTTGGTGTCCTCCACTGATCTCATGTCTTTATTTCCCACAGATTCACGGGTGTGGGGAGAAAGCCAAAGCTCATGCGCGGCAGAGAATCAGCAAGGAAGGGACGCTGTATCCTGGGAGTGGCTTGAAAGACAAGTCCTTGGATCCTGCCAAGAGAGCTCACCTCCAGAGACGCCTGGACAAGAAGCTCAGTGAACTGACCAGCCAGCGAAAGAGCAAAAAGAAAGACAAAGAGAAGTAAGAAGAGTTGTGGCTCATGAAAGGAATTCACCCCAACAAGCTGTCCTTTAAAGCAGCATGTTCAAATGTTGCAGGAAAAAGCCAATAAAGTCTTTGAACATTTGGGCTCGTTTTTTTTCTTACAACCAGAATGTGCTTTTGAGCGTCACAGATCTCAGAGGGCACAGCACTGATGAAAGCTGCACCTTGAAAAGCCTTATCTGCAGCTTTTGAACAATGCTCGTGGTGCACCGTGTGCCATAAAATGTGTTTGTACCTGTCACATCCACTTTCTAAAACCCTGTTGATTAGGGAAGAAAAGCGGGCTGCTTTGGCTTTCAATAATTACTTTTACTGGCAGTGTAATAAAATATACAGTGGATGGTTATATAAGTAGCTATACAATAAAGAGGGATCCCTAATTAAGAGCATGAATGAATGAATGAATGAACAAAACATAGGTACGTAATATGTTTGTGAAAGTGAAAGGAAGGGAAGGGAAAGGATGCTATAGATCTGGATGAAGGTGGACTGATCTTGTGGAGTGGAGCTGATAAATGAATACAGGAGAGAAAGTGAAGGTGTAGGTTTAATTATGAAAAAGCTACAATATATGGCAAAGTATGAATTGGTACTATCTAGAATGTTGGTGGATATGCAAGAATAATAGTTTGATCATAATTACACAATAATCTCCATGAATGTTTATATTGGAGGAGCCAAGGATTAGACTGGGGAAAAATTCTGCGTGATTCTGAATATGAGAGAGTGTAGAAAAAAATTATCCTGCTATTGATAGGAATGGATGGGGGGAAAAAGTTAATGGGCTGCTTGGAGACCCAAAAAATGAATGAGAACTGTGATTGTTTTGTGAGCATTTGTTTAGAGGAAGTTCTGTTTCAAATATGTGGTTTACTACGTGTTTTTCTGTACATATGGAAAAGCAATTAATCCTTTTGGATGATGCTTTGATTATTGATGATAGAAGATTGAGAGGCTTTGTGAAGTGTACAAGGATAACACGAGCTTTGGACTGTGGGAGAGACTTTAATTATGTCAAGAATGGATCTTGGGGGTGGGGGGAAATGCAAATGGGAGAAAAGGGAAATAAATGAGTGGAAGTAGAATGAGTACAGGAAATAGTACAAGCCCTGTATAAAAAATCATTAGTACGTTGAATTATCTCCCAAGAAATTATTAAAATATAGACATAAGCCAAGAGGATATGGACATTGCTTGGAAAAGAATAACCAGTATAATGCTGCAAATGCTACAGAAATGTATGCAATTACACTAATGAGTATTAAAAAGGATGCTTGGAATGATGGCAAAAGGAGGTGGATGATGAACAAAAAAAAATGCATATAAGAGAATGATCGCTGCAAAAAATGAGGATGAAAGAAGTATTTTTAATGATACGTACAGACAGAAGAATATAGTACCAAAGAATATGAAACCAAAGGAACAATTAAGATAGAGGCAAAGAAAATGCAGAGGGATTTTCATTGAAGCAAAGCATTGTTTGGGAAGTAGGTGAACAGGACTAACAAGAAACATCCAGCAGACTGAATGAATTAAAAATGAAAGTGGTGAACTGAATTGGAATGAACCTAGAGTGAGTAAATAGTAAAGCAGGATTGTAGAGATTTGTACAGTGATATATTGAAGAGTGGAATTGAAATAGTGTCCAAGAAAAAAAAATGGGAGTCCTAAATATTGGGAGAATGTTAAAAATAGTAAGGCTATAGATGTAGATGGAGTAACTGGAGAGTGTAAAATATGGATGTGGTTTTCTTATGGAGTGGCTGTGTGACTTCCTTAACATTTGTATGAAGACTGCATCAGTGCCGAAAGAATGGAATCATTCCATTATTCTCTGAAAGTTGCTAAAATGAATGCAAAAATTACAGGAGTTTTAGTTTGTAAAGTGTCTATAAAAAGTGTTCGGCAGAATTTTGACTGAAAAAGTACTGAGGTGATAATGAGCAAAATTAAGGAAGTGTAGACATTTGCTCTTCAGCAATTAACTGAGAAATATATGAATGTGAGGTAGAAAGTTGATTTAGAGAAACCATATGATGATGTGAATAGGCTTGACTTATGAAATGCTTTGTACAGATGTGAAGTCAGTTACTGAATGCCATAAAAGCAGCGTATAATGGAACTAAAGCATGTGTGAGAATAAATGGAAAGCTTAGCCAGTTGTTCAACACTGAACAGGGAGTAAGACAAGGATTGTGGTGTTCCATTGTTTATTGAATGTATTTATGAATATATGTATAAGGAAGACTTGTGGTAATGTTAGAGGCATGTTGGTTGGGAATGTAAACGATTATTTTTGTTTGCAGATAGCTGAGAATTAGAGCAATGTGAGGTTAATATTAGATCAATTGTATGATGCAGCAAAGAGTATGAAAATTAATGTAATTAATGTAATTAAAGATGAATGTAGTGTTTATAAAAAACGATATGAACAATTGCAAATTAAACATAAATGGTGAAAAACTTTGCCAAATGGATGAATTTGTGTGCCCTGATAGTTTTCTACAGATGGAAAAATGAAGAAATATTCAGATGTGCAAATGTTAATAGAAAAGTAGTGTTGGGAGGAATAAATGTTTTTTGAAAGAAGCAAAAATGGCTGCGTATAAGAGGTTGCTTCTGTCCACATTGTTACATGGAAGTGGAGTTGGGTATGTCAGACAAAACATAGCAGTAAGCTGAAAGCTGTTGGAACAGGATACTTTGGTAGCATGTATAGTAAATCCAGAGCCAGAACTCAATCCTGAGTGGGTGATAAATGAATGTGCGTTGAATGCAAAAGTGAGTGACCAATATGAAAGAACTAGATCAAGGTGGGTTGGTTATATAGAAAGAGTGAATGAGAACCGAATCACAAAACAAATATATGAAGGAAAACAAGTGGGTTCAGTAAGAGGGAGCAACTAAGAAAAAATGTGGTTGGATGAAATTGATGAGAACCTGAGAAGAAAGAGATGAGAAATGTAAAGAACAAAAGGTACTGCATTAATCAGCGTGTCTATGTGATAGAAGCAAGGATGGCTTCGAACATGGAAAAGTATAGAGAAGCATAGTTCATAGTTTTGGTGTAAACTACATTTAATTAGATTCCTTTTTTAAAAAAAAAATCTGCATTTAATTTTTTTGTCTTCTACTTAATACTTTTTTGGCCTTTGCATAAAGTTGCTTATCCCCAAAAGGAATAGTGTGATGGTTATGGTCAGATGGATGGATGGATGACTTCCATGATACAAGCATAGTCAAGCAGAGAAAAATCTAAAATGAAACCTACAATTGGCTATTTTGATTCACATTTCTTTATGCCTTCCCAATCTCTTGTCTCTTCCTAGCTTGCCTCAAAGAAGAACATTGCTGTTTGCTTTGAAGATACATAAAGAAGACAAATAGCCTTTCTTTCAAATGACACAGCCCTTTTTTCTCAGCAAGCCATTATAAAATCTCTGAAGCAAACATATTTTAGTCCACTATTGGAACCAAACTATAAAAGTCCAAATGGGCATTGCTCCTTTTAAGTAGGGTGGGTTTTGGCAAAGCATACCACATGTAGAGAGTATTACTGTGCTGCTTTGATCATTATATAAGTTGTAAAACAAAATTGCACATAATGTAGCATCTACACCCCATTATGATAACAGCATGCTCTTCTGAGCTTGATGGAGGGAAGAGCGGCTGTCCAGAATTCCCACATCTGTGACCATTGCTGCCTGGGTTTGGTAAGAGTTGGAATCCAGTAATATTTGGGTTCTTCACTGTTGAAGTTCTTATTCATTTGTTTTATTTGTCTAGAAGGCCACCCGACTTCATAAAGATTATGGGCAGCAGATAGTGGGATTTGGAGCAGATCCAGATGCACAATAGCTTGTTAGTGCATCAGGAAGAGAAATAAATTGGTGCAGTGAAAGATAGAATTTGGACCCAGAACTCCAAGATCTATTTAGAAAATTACTGCAGCTTTAGGGGGGAGAGGTGATTCTGGCATCTTCCACAGCATACATATCCAGCTGCCTCCTGTTGTCAGATACAGTTGTCCATTTAGCACAGGAGTGGGCAAGTTATAGATGACACCCACCCACCACCTCTGCATCCCAGGATCACACTGCTGAAATTCAGCAGCAAAATCCCCAATTTTCAGCAATATTTTGTTATTGGTGCAAAATGGAGTAGGGATGAAAAGCATCAGGTCTTTGAACAGCAAATTGCTTCTGTTCCCAATGTTTTCATCTTTCAAATAGCCCAGTTTCTGGTATCCAAATCAGTGACATGACTTGGGCTGTTTATCAGCTTTTCAAGGTTTAAAAGTGGGATGAAAGCAAAGAGGCCTCTGACTTCCTTTCCCAACCTTACAATCTCTGAAAACTTGGGGAGAAAATGGATGGGAAACTTAGACCTCATTCTTTTATACAACATCATTGTGGTGCCTCCAACCTGCTGTAAAGCCTGGTGTTTGAGTTGTTCATCTTTGATCTAATAACTCATAGTACTGTTCTGACTGGCTGCAGTTCTCAAGATCTCAAGAAGAAAACTCTCCCAACCCTGGAATTTATGATCCTTTTCATTGCAGATGTTGAAATTTAACCAGTATTCTGCAGAGATGTGTGTGGTAGAAAGCTTAGCTTAGGGCTACAGAATCTATAGGATAAATGTTTTTTTTTTCCTCCGAGTCCAGTAACTTTTGATGCTTTTTGAGGTGCTGTGAATGGAAGTTGTTAATTTACAGAACCAAGCAATTATGAAAATAGTTGCATTTATTTTATTCTGCAAAACTAAACTTGAGTTGAGAAAGCTATCAGTTTTCAAGAGGGCATGCAATATTATTGTTCATAGATACAAGATATCTTTATAGATTCCTTTATATCTGAGCAAAAGAAGAAATTGCACTACTCATACTATTTATGGAACTATGATTTTGATTTTTACTTCATTATGTGAACAGATTGCAAAAATATATAGTAGGTTATTAACAATAATTGTGGCTCCTACATTTCTGTGACACAGATGTCCTTGGTTCTAAAGTAGTTGTAGCAGAAATCGTGCATCCTTGGGCTCAAAAGTACTTGGACCTATTTTTCTTGCCAGGCAATGTGTCCTTGAGGATCCACAAAAAAAACTCTGGTTTCATCATCAGCTGGTCTGTTAACTTTGAGGCAGTTAACCTTTCTGAACTCATAGAATTACTGGCTTTCCTTTTTGTTCATTGCCTTGAAATTAAAGTGGTGTTGATGTTTTATCATCCAAAGAAACTGGCTTCATATCATTTCTGTGATACTAATAACAATGTGGCTTCAACCTTGACCGCACTTGGATTTAGCATATGTGACTTATGAATAACCTGAGTCTGCAATAATAAAACTAAATGGATTTCTTTAAAAAAAGAACTACCATAATTATGGCTTACATAAAATAAATGTACTCAGTTTAAAAAATCACAGCATGACACAATGTTTTAGAGCAAATGCCGGCTACAAAGTGGAAGGCAAGATTTAAGAGGGATCCAAACTGGCTCTAATGAAGGTAGCTTGATTAACTTTTGAAGCAACTTTAACTTTTAGGAGATCCAGATCACATACTGGATATAGAGGATCTGGAAAGCTTTTGAAGAACCAGTATTTATACTGCATCTTACACCTATCAGGATAGGATTCTTACAATTTCTTTCTTCTGAGTAGGTACAGATGTAGGTAGGTAATGTTATTTTGTTTCAAGTTCTACAGCTCTCTCTCTAGTATATAATCTTTGTAAATTTGTAAAGAAGAAATGGTGGTTTATTACTATTACGATGATAATGGTAACATCTCATAAAGGATCTAAAATTTTCCATGCATTATAGTGATATTTTCCTGATCACAGGTATAACATCTCATAGATATAACATGGAAGGGAAAAATGGGAAGAAATCAAGGAAACATGGCTGGCTGTAGAATTCTGGGAGTTGAAGTCCACACATCGTAAAGTTGCCAAGGTTGAGAAACAATGGCTTAGTCACCATCAGAGAGGAGAAGGCCAAAATGGGGGTCTGGGCTTTGCTTTCCTTCGTGCCCTTTAAGCACCTGCTGATAGAAATGGGGAATGAACCAATGACTGAACTGGCTGGCTGGCTCCCTCATTCATTCATTCATTCATTCATTCATTCATTCATTCATTCATTCATTCAGCCATGCAAAGTGATAGATCAGCAACCTTGCTCAAACTCAGCCTGTGAGGAGGAAATAGAATCTTTATCTGGCAACCTACAGAAAAATTAACAGTCACATCCTCTGTGACATTAAAGTTTTGAAGATGTAATGATTTTAAACCCACACACACACATATGAAGCAAAACTTGTCCAATGCCTGCAGTCTGATTTGATCTGCCAACAAGGTACTGCTGAGCAAGTCCCTAGTCTCTGGGACAATCTGGATTAAACATTGTTTTGCTTGTTTTTTCTACACACCCATGGATTTTCCTTTGGCTCTCAGCCTGTATTAAGGCAACTGGAAGATGTTTTAACAAATACGACAAAAAGATGAAAATATGTGTTATGGCTTTCCTTAAGCTGATTCCCTCCAAATGAGTGGATATGTGAGTTCCATTAACCTCAGGCAACATGGATTTTCTAATGGGAAAAACTGTAAAAGAACAGGAAAGGAAGAAGCATCATGCACTTTGGCTGAAGAATAGGGGTTTTTTACCCCCAAATATATGTAGGAATATATTTTCTAGAGATGATCTTCTCTATACAGGCGTTCTGCAATGTGTATGGCTGTCACTGCTGGAATGCCATTGGCTATGCTGGGAGGGAACTCAGATCAATGTATCTGAAAAAAAATCAGGGCAAGATCAACAGGGAAACCTCACCATTAAAAAGCTAGCAAAATGGCTGCCCTCCACTTTGTGTTCCCACAGAGGTCTGCCCTTTGATTTGAGAAAATTTCTGGTTGGAGAAAATTCCCTCCTTTCTCGTGAGGAAAATTTTTCTCCGTCTGCAAACCTGCAAGGTCGTTTATTCAATGTTAACCCACCTTAACCAGTGAGGCAACTGAAGGTAGTAAACCATAATAGTACAGTTTAAAAAAAAAGAAAACCCAGTAGACAATTTTGTTGAAACCTTAAGCAAACATTCATAAAATAGGCAGTACCCACCCAGCCAAGACAACTTACCCTCCCAAAGACACCTCTGAATGTATTTATTTATTTTTTTAAAATCTGTCAGGAAAACAATTACAAAGTATGAAAAACGATTGCCCTTTTGGCAGGATTTTCTTCAGACCCAGCTACGCAGGCCTTCATAACAAAATGTATTTCATTCTGTGCCATGTTTGCCAGTGTCCACTACTCAAGTGTACTGATAGAAATAAATGCCATAACAACTCAGGCCATTTGTATTTAGTGAGACTAAACAAGGCTTGCTTTAACTCTTTGCTTGATGTCCTAAAATGGTGAGGCAGGAAGGAGGTAGGGATGGATATTTACATGTGGGCATTTAAAAATGGCAACTGTCCTTTTAAAACGGATAACTCCATTTTTAAGGTGACTTTGAACAGGCTTATATTGGAGTTGGTTGGTTGGTTGGTTGGTTGG